CATAATTAGTTTACTGTTCATCCACAACTTGTTTTAGTGGCTTTAGTTAATCAGATCTGCCACAGCTGTAATCAACAGTGAAGGCATGGAAACTGTCTGGGAGATAGTGAGGAGGAGGAGAACTGATTATCGTAGCAACAGAAGTGTTAGGGGAGCTTTTTTCATTTAAAATTGCCTCCAGTGTGGAGCCCCCACATGGTAGTAGGCATAAAGAGTATAAGGCAAGCACAGAGCATGAGATGTGTCCATGAGTGAGAGAGAACTCTGGAGTCGCCTTTACTGAGGTGACAGATACTGTAAGGAGAGTCCAAAGCTTCAGTTGGAAAATTACCAGTCAGCTTTTACAGACAGAGCCACAGTAGCCCTCTCTCTGAAATGAGATTACACTTCCACTTCTTAATACTAATGGGTGGGTAGGCAGAGGATGTGTGCATAAAAATGTTATGCAAATATTCAGAGGCACACAAAATACTGCTGATTAAGAATCTTTCATTCTTGATTTACTGATGGATCAGTTGTTACTTACTGCCACACTTTAATACTCCATTTGGGTCAGTGTCCTCTAGCTGAAATATAGGTATCATTCTTTATTAATTTTCAATCCAGCCACCAGTGGTGGATCATATAAGCATTGCTGGAAGTAGAGTGGAGAGAAGAAGGAAAGAGGGATGGAGATCAGCAACAAAACCTTATTGAACATCCGTGCTTCAGGGCAGCATTCTCCAACATGACACTGAAAATGCTACCATTTCCAAACATCAATGGGATTGTCGGATTTACAGTACAAGGCATCTCGAAGGGGATTGGTTGGGAAGGCCAGACTATACTACAAACAGAGCCAATCTGAAGGCATAAACAACAAATACCACTCTGGGCAATCACGTTAACCTTAAAAAATAGTATGATATTTCCTACTAGAGTTTCCTTTAAAGATAACTAATAAGTATCCTGTTGGAATTTTGCACATAGAATGGATGTTGTGGAAACAGCTATTGCCATTTGACAAAGCAGTGGGTTCTGTGACCAGTCACATGTCCAACAGCCTACTGACAGCAGGGATGAGGGGAGGTCATGACTTGCTGTCTAGTCTGATTTAAGTCACACTGGTGACTTGACTTGGTCTCGACTTGGTGGTTTGTTTTCTAAAGACTCGGACTCAGTTCGTGACTCAGACCCATTTTTCCAAGTTGCATTGTTGAGTCCCTATAAGGGATGGACCTCCCTACCTCATCCTTTTGCCACCTCTACCACTGCCACCATCCTCAGGGGCAGGATGCTTGGCTTCCCTTCCAGGAGCCATCTGTTGTCTCCGCCCATGAACCAACCACCCATCTGATAGGCCAGTACATGCGCAGAGGCAGGAGCTGGCTCCAGAAAGGGAACTCAGCCCATTGTCTCTGTGCATGCGCATGTGCTGGCCTGACTTCCCTTTTAAGTCTGCTGTCTGTTCATGTGTCCCCCTGGGGTGTGTCCCCCTGGGGTGCATCAACTTGAGACTCAGATCTGAGGCTTTGAACTGGGACTCCAGCCCTCAGACTCGGACCGGAAGACTTGTCCACATCCCTAACTGGAACCTCAACAAATAGCCATGGCCATTTCTTCAACTGACCTTCTGTCCATTAAAACATCCAGCAGGGTAATGACCTTTGTCTTTTGTTTAACAAATTTAAAACCTTTACCTGGTAATAGTAAGCCTAACTAAATCTGGATTAGGTGCTTTAACTAAAATTTTAACAAATTACTCTGTTTGTAGTAACATTTCAAACTCTGAGCTACATTCAGTGTAGTTTGCCATACAGTTTCCTGCTGGAATGGCTCCAACAGCCCAAGGATATTCCATGATGATGGAGGGTGTTTCTTTTTTTTTCTGCTGGCCTTCAATAGCTACAAGCTGCAAGGTTACTGGGCTTCAATGTGAAAGTTATGAAGTTATGATTTATGGTACACTTGGAATTTTACTTTATTGGGTCTTTACAGTTATTAGTAAAGCTTACGTGCTTTTTTTAAAAAAGTAATTTCATCTGAAGTATTAATTTCCCACTTGCATGACTGTTTTTCAAGTAGTGATTGGTCTGCTAAATGGTATTCATTGGTTTTCCAAGTCTCTTTTAACGCCTATTTTATTTGCTTTTTGCTTATGCTTTCATCATAAATAATGCTATCCAGAATGAATTGGTTCATTCTTAATAGTTTTTGAATAGCAGCCTTTTTTTCCTGGGAGAAAACTCTTTTTCCCCAAAATGAATTGATAATAGAAGAACTGAATATAGGACCATAATGTGCTATTAATTTGTTAGTAATAGCACAATCCTATGCATGGTTACTCTCAGAAGGAAGAGGCACGGAGCTAAGTGAGTCTTACTTCCAATAACAGCATATAGGTTTGTGGTATATATCTAGAAATTATGGCCTCAATAAGAAAGGTGTTTAACAAAAAGATAAAAGGGAAATAAGAGCTTTCTGTTTCAATGTGGCAGGAATCCTGAGGAGTTTGAAATAGCCACATTATGTCTTCTCTAATATATCTCACTTTCAAGATTTTTTATTTGCAAGGGCTAGAAGATGGTTGCTTCTAATTATCATCACCATAAGCTGTCAAGTCAGTTCTGACTTGTGGTGACTTTTTTCAGAGTTTTCCAGGCAGAGAATACTCAGATGTAGTTTACCGTTTCCTTCTTCTGGGGGCACACTGGAACTGTGCAGCTTGCCCAAGGCCACAGAGGCTGGTCCTACTCATAGGAGGCACAGAAGGGAATTGAACTCCCAGCCTCTACCTAAACCACAGAGCTACCCAGAATAGCTGTCTAGAAAACAAAACTGTAAGCTTGGTTGTGTTTGTAGAATACTACGTTTGCTTCTTCTAGTACACTCACCACACATCTTACTGTATGTTACAGCACCACATGGTTTGAACCAAAGTTCAAGAATCACTGGCTCAGAATGATGTATGATGATTAATATATCACTTTTGATAACAGAATGACAAAGGAATTTTGCCAGACTTTCTGTAAGGGAGATTCTCTTTTGCATAAAATGTACACCATTGGCTGTACAAAAGAAGTTGTGACATTAATGTTATGCTCTTTTGTCTCCCTCAGTATATGCTTGTAGTATAAATAGTGGAAGTCTTTCAGATGAGTTTCGGAAAATGTAAGTGGTTCTTAGTAATGAAGAAT